ACCGCTTTTTCCCTTGTCACTGGAGAGGTGTCGCTTCCGCTCATACTGGTTGAAACCTGGATGGCAGATATGGTCCAAGGTGCCCGTCCTTATGCACGGGATCATGCTAGCTTGTGTGCTTTCTGACACTCATGGCTGCAGGTCATTTATTTCCAATTTCCTTGTTGCCTTTACTTAAAATATAGAGCTTTTGTTTGTTTGCTTTATTTTTGTGGGGTTTTGCTGTTGTTGTTACTAACATTAAAAGTACCCCAGGGAATTCTGGGAAACCCGAAGAGTAGCAAGTAACAACCTCTTAGGATTTGCATCCGCTGCGTGAAGCTACATTTGTTCTGTTTGCTTTAAGCAGTCGTATGGACATCCTTGGGGGTCATACTACATACAGAATTTCTACTTTTCATTATAGTTACTTATTTCCTGTGTGGAGCAGAGGGGAGACCCGTGCGATGGCATACATCTGGAGGTTGGAGGGTAACTTTTGAAGGTCAGTCTTCTTCCTCCCCTGTGTGGGTCCAAGCAGAATGAACTCAGGTTTCCAAGACTAGCAGCAGATGCCTTTACCCACAGAGCCATCTTGCCAGCCACGATTTCTGCTTTTAAAACCCACAGTAAAGGGTTGGAGATGTAACTTAGTTGGTAGTGTGCTTGCCCAATGTTCACTAAGCCTGGGGTTCGAGCCCCGGCACTACATAAACTGATATAGACCCACAATCACAGCATTTGGGAAGTGGAGGAAGGAGGATCAGAAGTTCAAGGTCATCCTCAGCTCATTAGAGATTTCAAGGCTAGCCTGAGATGCTTGGTACCTTATCTCACAATAAATAAATGTAATACACCCACCATTAATACCAGTCTTAATGAATAATACTACTTTGTGATATATACTTTATAAACATTTGGGGATTAAAGTACCAATGTTTTCCTTTAGTTACTTCTAAGCCTTTGTGTATAAAATATTTTTGATGTTTCTCTGTTAGACAATGAGTTCAGGTTGTATGTCAAAGGAAATCAATTTGCTCCGGCTTAAGGGGGGAAGGAGACGTATTGACTTGGTGAAAAGGGAGGGATGAATTAAATTCAAACATAACTGGACACAGGAGTTAAGTGATGTCTTCAGGAACTTGAGTTTTCTCCATTAAAGCTTTAAATTTAGCATACCAAGTAATGGGTTTCATTGTCCCACTTCCATATACTTTACACACACACACACACACACACACACATACAGTATATATACATATATAATATATATATAATTATCCTGTTTTTATTCCCCTTTTATTGCCTTTCTTTGTCTCCTGCTCTTCTTCCTCCCAAACAATCACTCCTTTTGCTTTTGTGTTGCATTTAGGAATTCATCTTTTTTTCTTCTGGACTTGCCTCTGTCTCTGATAATTTCATTCTGTCTTACTCCACTGCCTCCATTGCACATAGGTAGCTGCTCTTTTCCTACTCCAGCTGACGTCCCATGGTCCCATGCTGTTAGTACAATTGAAGTCAAGCCCCAGACATGAACCATACATTGGGTCAGGTTGAGGGACAGCACTGTCTTAGTCAGGGTTTCTACTGATGTGACAAAATGCCATGACCAAAGCAACTTGGGGAGGAAAGGGTTTAGCTGGCTTACACTTCCTCATCACTGTTCATCATCCAAAGAAATCAGGACAGGAACTCAAGCAGGGCAGGAACCTGGAGGCAGGAACTGATGCAGAGGCCATGGAGGATGCTGCTTACGCACTTGCTTCTCATGCATGACTTGCTCAGCCTACTTTCTTATAAAATCCAGGACCACCAGCCCAGGGCTGGCACCACCCACAGTGGACTGGGCCCTGCCAGGCCTGCCTATAGCCCAGTCTCATTGAGGGAGCTTCTCAATTGAGGCTCCCTCCTCTCTGATGACTCTAGCTTCTGTCAAATTGACATAAAACTAGCCAGGGCAAGCACCAAGCCACTGGGGACTACATTTCAGCCTCTGATGTTTATTAGACCCACCTGCCTGCCCTCCACTGGGGGACACTGATCTGGACCCCTCTACCCCTACCCTTCTTCCAGAATCACGTGGCTTGCTCCCCTACCTCTGTCTTCAGCCCCCACTCATGTTGATCCCAACCACCCCGCATTCTCTGTCCACTCCTCCAGCTCTGTTTTCCATCACAGGAGCATTGGTGCCTGGTGATCTACTGTATAGTCGTGGAGTATATCTCAACCTTCCTAATGCTCCAACCCTTTAATACAGTTCCTCGTGTTGTGGTGACCCCCAACCATAAAATTATTTCGTTGCTACTTTATAACTACAATTTTGTTACTGTTACGAATCATAATGTAAATAGGATATCTGATATGTGACCCCAAAGAGGTCTCGACCCACAGGTTGAGAACCACTGACCAAGAGGAAAAAAAAATATATATGTATATATATATATATATATATATATATATATATATATATATATGAATAGGTATCTCTTGTACTCAGTAATGAAAGACATCGCTAGGCAGGTGTGTACCTCTCTGGGTCAACCCATCTGAGGAAGTAGTTGGGGGAGCAGTGCAATTCCCCAAAGGAAAGAAAATAAGATGTTGGGCAGCTATGGCTGCAATGAGCTAGGCTGCTGGGCTGAACAAAATAGTGGTGACCATTATGGCTGAGATTGCTTTTGATGCCAAATCTCAGGAGAGGAAACCCATAGGACGTGTGTGTTTGAGTTTCCTGATACTTACTTCTTCCCATGTTGCCCCTTTAAACTTGGAGTCGACAAAATAATCTTCCTGAAATGCATATCCCATCATGCCCACTATCCCAACAGGTTCCCCCTCCTGACACCCGGGTCCCAAGCTGGTCAGGCTCAGCATTGCCTGGTCTCATCCCACCCTGTCCCCCCTTCACACCAGACCCCAAAAAATGGCTTCCTCTTCTGCCTGGAATCCACTCCTTCTCTGTATTTTTTTCTTCTCCTTAGGTCTGTAGTGGTTGGAATGAGAATGTCCCCAGTAGGCTAAGATACTTGAATACTTGGTCCCCAGATGGATGTGCTTTTTGGGAAGGCTTAGGGGGTGTGGCCTTGCTGGAGGAAATAGGTCACTAGCGGGTAGGTTTTGATGTTTAAAAGCTGGGCGCCAATCCCAGTTTCTTTTCTCTGCTTCCTGCTTGTAGTTCATATGTGAGCTCTCATCTTGCTGCTCGAGCTGTTGACCTGCCTGCTGCCAGACTTCCCTGATGAGATGCTGATAAACTCTTATCTCTCTGGAAACAGCATGTAAGTGGTCTTGGTTGTGTTATTTTATCAGCAATAGAAAAATACCCAATGTCAGGGCCATCTTCCTGGGTCACCTCCCACTCTTTCTCCACATGTGCAGACGTGATCCCTCTGGGGAGTCATAGGAAGCTGCTCTAAGGGGGTTTCCCACCCCAGCCTAGCAACACACCTGTCCTCTTCATCTCCCTCACCTCTGTTTATGCTTGCTGATCTTCCATCTCCTCCACTAGGGTGTCAGCTACACGAGACTCGTTTCTCTTTGTTCATGGTCATATCCGAAAGGTCAAACTAAGACCTGACATAGTTTGTCACAGCAAAGCTCCACAATAAATATTTGTTGTGAAAAATATGAGCAAACTATTCCCAAAGTATATCATAGACTTAACAATACCACCACCACCACCACCAGCACCATCATCACCACCACCACACCACCACCACCACCACCACCACCAGCAC